TCTGAAGAAAATAACCTAATAATCGTTGCATTAAGATGCGGACATAAATGATTATGAATCTTTGTAGAAGCACACCATAGTTGATAATAACACTAGTGTCTAGCCACTGGCACTAGCCACTAGTTTGCTCTGTCTCAAAGCGGTCATTACTTGTATTCTCATGCGTCGACGTGATCAGGAAACCTCGGGGTCAATGTTCTTATCCTGTTTGTGTAGAGATGGGCAAAACCCCACCCGGTGTATTGTCAGGGAACAGCTATGGAGAGCAGTGAGGTCCAAATAGCAGGAGTGTAATCCTGAGTAGATGATGCAAATAAATCATGAGTTTAGCTTAACATGATATATTTCTTTTCTCTGGACAATGAATAGCTGCTGGTACTATCGTGGATGATAGGATGTGAGCCACCTCTAGATAGAATCTAAATTATTTTACATAATTATAAATATATAATAATTAAAATGCCTGTGAGACATTTGAGACATGTATTTCTACCTCTCAACTGTGATTAGATAGATGATAGATAGATAGATAGATAGATAGATAGATAGATAGATAGATAGATAGATAGATAGATAGATAGATAGATAGATAGATAGATAGATAGATAGATAGATAGATAGATAGATAGATAGATAGATAGATAGAAGGACGGACGGACGGACGGACAGACATTTAATATTTTTTAGGAATCTGAAATGTTTTGTCCTTTTTTCTGCGAAAAGGTATGCTTTTAAGTTGATGTACTTTACTGGTGAATAACTTCCAAAACATCTGATTGTTGAAATAGAAAAAAATCGTAATGTGATTTAAATCTCAAATGAAGTGACAGACAGTCAAAACTCACATGATTATTTATCATTTACATTGAATTATGTGGGGTTCAGGGCGAAAGGCAAAGCGGACCAGAAACTGGTGTTTATAGCTCCATCCTCTTATATTCCTGTTTTTTGTTGAGAGGACCCGTGATGATCTGACCAGAAAGGGAGGAGACATTAGCCTCTTTGACAAGACGCACCAAGGCAGGTGCGCCACAGTGCATCTTATGAAAGCGCCATAGCTGTATGGTGATTCGGGAGCGTTACAGCTTTCGTGTCACCAAGCTTGATAGTAATATTACAGCAACAGCATACTTGTGAACGAACATCACGCCTTCGCACAACCAATGATGATGGTCGTGTGCTGAATACCCGCCGAGCCCTGGCTAGCAACAATATTAAATATGAACGTAAACACAGGAAGTCAGTTTCGATTTTGTGAACAAAATCAGCTGAGATGACAAACTGGAGCGATGCGGGGCTCTGGGAGCTTCTTTGCATTAGAGCTGAAGCTCAGATCACTAGACAGTTCACGGGGACTGTGAAGGACAGCCACCTTTGGAGAAACTTGTGAAAAAAACGTAAGGAGCGTGGCTTCAATATCCATAAAAAATAAGTTACATCCAAGCTAAAAGGATGTCCGTGACATTGTGGAGACCGCCCTCATACCTCCTTTCCACTGCCATCGGGTAATCTTTAGTGGAAAACACATGCGCCACATAACTACCACAGGATGACCACTTATTATGAAAACAAAAGGTAAATGGCCTATATTTGATAAAGTGCCTTCTAGTCCTAGAACACCTCAAGTCACTGTACATTACAATCAGTCATTCATCCATGCCCACACATTCACACCCTGGTGGCAATGAGCCCCCCTGTGCCACCGTGTCTTTAGACTTCCTGTATGAAAAAAATCCTTTCTTCTTCTAGGATTTGTTGTCATTTCTCTGGTGCCCCCTGCTGAATGGGAGTGTGGCTCTAACATAAACATTTGCTTGTCATTGTAATAATCTGCTGTGATGAATTTGCTCTGATCAATGAGGAGGTTTAAAAGGCCACCAAAGGATTAATTTTTCTAGGCTGAGTGAAGTGTTTTCCACTTTTCCACTGATAAATCTGATCAGATTTATCCATCCTTGTCACTTTTCACTGTTAGCGCAGACTAAGTGGAAAAGTCTGTGGGGACATTTGTGAAAGGTAAACGTGAAACTTAACTGTTACAGTCCGTTGAAGAACATCTAATACAGGGTGTCCGCGGGGTTTTAAAAAGTATTAAAAAGTGGTAAATAAAAATAGTCAAATTTAAGGCCATTAAAAGTGTTAAATTTGGTCTCAGAGGTATTATTTTTTCCAAATTAGGTATTATTTTTTCAGACTATCAGATGTCGTATTCTGAACATCGACATAGAAATATATTCCGAATGAAATGTTTTGAACGATTATAAAAACAAAACAAGCCGATTATTTGCTCCTCCCACTTGCGCTGCCCGGAGTTGCAAATGAAGCGCTCCTCCACAGTGTTGCCAACTTGGCGACTTTGACGCTATTTCTAACAGCTTCTCAGACCCCCTTCTTGACTTTTTAAATCTTAAAAGTACCTACTACCTAGCGAACACCTCAGAAACATCTCTGGTAACCCTTAGCTACTTTCTGGATGACTGTCGTCGACGTTTCCTGCAGGTTAGCTAAAAACTCCGCCTGCGCTCTGGACCGTTCTTCAGGGCATTAGGAAAGGGAATGATGTAGTGATGTGTCAGTCGCTAAAGAAACGGCTCTCAGAGCCGGCTCCATGTTTGAGTAACCAGAGTGAGTGACACACACACCGCACCTGCGGACAAACGAGCCGATAAAAACGGCTAAATGTGCGCGTGCGGCGTGCTAAACACACGTGCAGCTTGCTCCTGATTGCTGTGAGACCGGGTTGGGGTGTGGGGGTGCAGCTGTGGTTGGGACAATTATTACATTAACTGATGGACTTGTAAATAAATAGTTTAGAAATAAGGTAGAAATAAGTTCCTCACGCTGATAAATAATAACTAATCTCTCTGAGGACACGGTGCTACTGCACTCTCCTACAGCACCTTGACATGACTCAATAAATGTTATGCAAAATTTTGTGAACATCAATTTGCATGTATTTGTTATAAATGCCACTGTATAATTCTTGCTGTCAGTATTTGCAAGATATTGGTATTTGGGTCTGTACTGGTTAGACTTAAATGAGTTAAACCAAGGCCTATAGCCCTTGGGTCATAAACTATGAGCTATAAGTATATTGGTCTTTTTATACTGGGAATCAGGAGTTAATTTAGTGATCATCTTGTTTCTTGTTTATTTTTGCCCTGATTGTGCCCTGAGCAGTTTTATGACTGAATAAAAACAACAACAAAAAATCTACATAAATTGAAAAATCATCTTAAATAATCGAGATCTCAATTTCAGTCACAATAATCGTGATTATTGTTTTTGCCATAATCGAGCAGCCCTACTTTAGCATATCCGGTCACATAATGATGACGTCATATTCAGTGGTCGTTGTGCATCATTTCAGGCCCCGTGGTCAACTGTCTGAACCGCTGAACAGAAGTGCCTGGCTTATTTTCTAAGTAAAATAAATATGTGCAATATGTTGTCAACATCAGTGAGTCTCTAAGTCAATTCTTTTTGTATGTTATATGTGTTAAAATATGTGTAAATAGGTCGCTGATTAACCCTTTTTAATTTAGTGTTGTGATGGTTGTAAAAAAATTCTGAAGGTAGTAAAAAAAGTATTAAAAAGTAGTAAATTTTACTTAAGGATTGCTGTATATACCCTGTAATACCTTATTTGCCATTTTAACACAAGCTCTTGGATCATTTTTTAATATTGCATTTTATTGCCTGCAGTTGGCATCATCAGCCTGATCGCAGTGCTGAACAAGTCAACAGTACAAGACTAAAAGCTGATTAAAAGACCAGATTAATCTGTCAGGAGTAATTCTTTGAGTTCAATTAGGGTCTACAAAAGCGTTAACAGCAGACACACGCTGCGCCGAACACATTGCCATTTACATATCCTTTAACACATCCTGTTGAAAACTTAACACGGGCTCAGATTAGCCCGGGGATTTGTGAGATAAATGTAGCTTCCTCTCCCCCGGCTTCATTTCCAAAATTTCTTTCACAATTTCCAAAGTGCCTATTGTGTTACCCCCCACCCAAAAAAGGCTCCCTGTTGGTTTAATAGGTTTCAAACTGAGAGTTATATAAGCAGTGCTCCCCTTTTGCTTTTGGATGGATGAATAAAAGGAGATCAAAAGGGAGGCGATAAAGAAAGTGTGTCTGCCTCCTTCTCCTTGTCTTTATTCCTGCCACATTCTGCCATGTTAGTTCCCCCAACACACGACTTGGCCTGGATGCTGTTTGTCTCTGTCGAGGACATTACACTTTAATCTGATGTTCTCCACTGCTCTCTGACTCTTGTGGCCTTCCACCCCCATCCAACATCCATCCATCCATCCATCCATCCATCCATGCCCTTCTTCTTTAATCACATGTTCCACAGCTTTAGCCTTGAGAATAACACTCTAATCTACACTCACAGTGTGGCTGCTACAGTAATCCTTTATTTACTGTGGTTATGTGCACTTGTGCACATGTATGTTGCCTCCAGCAGGAGACGTTCAGCAGTTTTATTGTGACATGACGCAATATTTCATTTGCGTGTGTCTCATCCGTGTCCTGTAGAAAGTGGAGTGCCAGAAGTGTGAGAGGATGAGGGGTGCAGGCATTGTTAGAGGAAGGGCTTGCCTGTGGAGAGATTTGCTTTAATGGTTTCTTTTTTTTCTGATGCAAGTCGACAAATATGTGTTTAAAGAAGACCACATGGAGTCATGCAGTTATAAAAAAACACAGCCCTGCTGGGATGTAGGAAGAGGATTGATGAGGGAAAATCCTGCAAAAGGGAATTCTTTATCTTCACCAAGTGTAAACTCCTACTTTAATCTCGCTTTTCCTGCAACTCTCTGAAGCTTTGCTGTTTAAATCTAACTTTTATTTCTGTTGGTGTAAAAGCTCATCTACCAAGTTGAGATGCATGAAATAAAACATTTAAACAAGCACATATGAACACAATGAGCACGACAGCCCCCGAGCCTGACCCCCACCCCCAAACAAATGCACAGTCATCAACCAGATCGTACCTTTTTATCTCCTCTCTCCTCCTCGCGTCCCTCGGGGCATTCGTTCATATCATCCTGTCAACTTTGGCAGATATTTCTGCAGGCTTCGACCTAAAGCCTCTACAGCCGGGTGAAGGATGGGGGAGGATGGTCAGATCTGTCCGCACTGGAGCTCCGCACCAACTCCCACCCTGTGTTGTCCCCCTCTAACGTCGGCTCAGATGTGTCTGTGTGACTGAGTCAGTGAATGAGGCTAAGCGCAGGTAAAGTCCTCCTTTTGCCAGCGTCTCTTTGCTCCCGGCTCTTGCTGTCAGTGCGCTCCGCTCAGCCGACATCTGCATCAACTTGTACTTCAACTCAGAGACGAATTGACGCGACGTCAACGCATCCGTTCTCCCTCTCCTCAGAGAGATGCGCCTCTCTTCCTGAGTGGAAAATAAATGTGCGACTTGTTCCAGCTTCCACCTCCGTTTATCCCCCGAAGTCTCCGGTCTGTTTTTAATAAACCGAGTGTGTTTAGTAAGGACTTGACAGGTGTCGCCTCTGGCGCGCGCTCTGCCCTCCTCCTCATCTTCTCCTTAGTCTCGCGCTGAGGATGCGAGCGCTGTTTGCTCTCTCTCTCTCCCTCTCTTTGTGTGTGTGTGTGGTGGGGCCCCTCCTTTCAGCGGCTCTTTGAGCGCCGTTACAGAGGTTCAGAGGGCCGTCACGGACAAACAACTACTGACAACTTTCCCACATTAGAGTGACAGGTGCGCTCTCAAACTTCCTGCCACACACAACAAGCCATACGTTTTTGGTGATATTACAATCAGGGCCCCCATGTGCTGCTTTAGGGGCCCTTCAGATGGAAAGTGAGTGAATTTCAAACCAGCAGCCAAAGATGGTGAAAATTTCCCACATCATGTAGAAAAGAACCTGCTCCTTAATGGGTTTAATGTCAGTCTACACTGTAAAATCTAACATGTTGATTTTACATAATAAACTCAAAAAATAATGACAAAATCATAATAGAGGGCTGAGTTAAAATCTAAGTATGCAGAAAAAATAATAGTCTATGGTTTGATCCACACTGGATGTGGTGCGGAAAGTTTAAGGCGCATCCTAGCCGCGCCTCAACACATTGGGTTTAAGTTTAGCCACGACACACTTCTGAGACACGTCAATCTCTATAGTTAACATAGAGCTAGACAGGAAATCACACATGGTATCGGTGTGAAGCGTCTGGTGAATATTGAAGTAAAAGACTTCTTTTGTCTTTTGTGGAGAGCAACAATATGTTTTTTCAGCATAAACATGTTTTTTTTTCCTGGTGGAGGAGAACCACAGCATAACAGCGTCAGAGAATAAAGCGTCAGTTCTCGTGATTTTTGTGATTTCTCAAGTCCAGTGAGGAGGATGGCAGACAAGTCGCTCCGTGTCCGACCCGATCTCAGTGTGAATTCACCGCGCATCTGCAGTAACGTACCACAGAGGCTCCCAGTGGGGAGTGGGGGTTAACCTGCTAAATTTTGCAACTTAGCTAGCCTGCTGTAGCACTGCCGCTATAGCCTTTAGCAGTTCTAGTTGAAATATCATAATATTTCTGTCATATTAACCAAATAATGTAAAACTGATGGTGTCAAAAGGGATTAATCATTTTAACCTAAACCAATATGACATTTTCTCTGCCTGGATTTGCTTGTTAACAGCAGAAATCCACTCTATAATAGGCTCCACTGTGACTAGGTCATTTCTCCAAACTGAGGTTGTTCAAAGAGTTACATGTAGCTACTACATGTAAGGTACTTCATCAGTAGTTTGTTAAAGTGAAATAGATTAATATGCTCAAGCGACAAACAGGCACACAACTCATTTCACAGTGTGCAGGCTAAAGTTAAATAAAGACTCTCTCATTAACTCCAGTTTGCAGCGATCTGATTTGGAGGTCAAAGACAAGTTTCCTTCAGGCCTGCTAACCGGGAGCCACTGCTGCTTAAATTGATATTGATGCGTTTTAATTCAGTCTTCATGACCAAAGATTTTTATTTGCCTTAGAGGCATGCCTAACAATTAATTAGCATTTATTACCTTTGGGTTGTTCTCTCACAGAAGAGTCACCACCGCTCACCCGCTGAATGCGCCACATACAACTTTAAAAGGAGCTTTCACTGGCAGTCTGCAGCTCATTCAGACCTGTTCAAAACCCTCTAAAGACGTTACATTCTCCAGTTGTTAACAGGTGCATGCAACATAGAACAACTGTAGAGGGGCCCAGGCGGCCCTTGGGGCTCTGGAAGCAAGTTCAGCTGCTCCACCAGCTCCCCCTGCCGCCTCTCCAGAGATGACCTCCAAGGATCTGAATCGGTTTTAAAGACTGATGTAGTCTAACTCCTGGGTATCATCAGAGGACAGTTTTAACTGTAAAAATAATAAAAGAAATAATATAATAGAAATATAATAGAAAATAATTCCAGTCTAAGCTTTATACACGATCAGTTAATATTTTTTGTTTGGCTTATTTTAAAGGTGTGGAACACTGAAAACCTTTTTTAATGAGTATTCCTGATTATAATCTGGCACTCTGAGTTTTTCATACAGGCAGAAAATGAAAATAGTCTCCTACACCGATCTCCTGCTTTAGCTTCTGATAGAAAATAGACGGTGAAACTCTAGGATTTTAAAAGCCTGGCATTTAACATTAATGGACTCACCAGTATTGACTCACGATGGGGAAAGCTGTTGTTTTAACTTCTGGGAATCAGCAATTGACGTCTCAGCTAGTAAAAGCTAATTGTTAGCATTAGCAACTCCACAACAAAGCAGAACACCTCCAGATGAGTTATTTGTGGAGATTAAACATCAGCATTGCAAAGCAAATGGAGTCAGAGGTAAAGTGGTTGTGCTGTTAACCAATCAGAGTCAAGATGTCCAAATATCAGGAATTAAGTCTCCAAATCCTGTCGTTTGAAGCTAATTTCTCCTCCAACTAAATCTTCTGTACTGATACAGGTGCTTCTAGGTTTTTTTTCACCAGAGTACGACTTAAAAGGCCTTCATTCCAGAGACCACTACAAAAGTATTGATTAAACGAGTGTTCAACACTTTAAATATTTGCAAACATATAGTATACTGAATTACTTCTTTACTTAGTCTAGTCCAGTCTCTCTTTTTTGGCCCGCCTCACATAGAAAGATAATTATTCGGAATATTTTTACCCCATTCTCTCCTTCTGACGATCGTAATTACCATAATGGCTCTAAAGGTAATCTTTTCAGATATTCCTGCCATCTGTGGTGTGTTCAGAGTGCTCTGGTCTGCTTGGAAGGACATTGGACCTACTTGGATCATAAATGTTTGTTTACTTCAAAGTCACATTTAATCTCAAGAAGTATTGTGAGATTTCCAGTATATTCTGGGAGTGTTCTTGATTGAAATAGGTTTGTGCGTGCCATAGGTCACACACTGCATAAACCCTAACCAGAAATACCGCATAACTGGTATGTTTGTTAATGTTGTTATTGCCACGTGTGCGGTCTCTCGTGTTTAGAGATTTGTCCAATTTTAAAACCCTGCCGTGTGAACCGGGCCTTAGTCTTCTATCTAATCTGCTGAGATCTACATAAAAGTCTTTGATAAATGATACTGAGTGAGGCAGTAGTGTCTGATTTATCATTATCATTCCACAGCTCAAATTATAGTGCGCTGTTTGACCCACTTTATATCATAATGTGAGACACTGACATGAACGCCTGAGGTGCAGCACAGTATAATGCAGTTCTATTCAAGCTGTGCTTAAAAAGGTTATTATAGTCCGTCTTTGTTAGGATTACACCAGTGACATGTTCATTGATATCTGCAGTCGTATGTGCTGTCGAGTGCATCAGATGTAGTGAGTTGTATGCCATGCTTTAGGAAAGCTTCCGTCTTCTCCTGGGTTTAGTTAACTAGACAGAGAATCCTTTAAATTCTTCTTCCAATTTGTTTGATGAAGTTCTTAATGAAAGATAGCAGTAATTTTCCTACAGGTATTATTAGAGTGTCTGTGCTAAATTACTGTAATTTATGCTGTAGTTATCCCTTATGGTATCGTTTTAATAGCTCTGTGCAGGCAGTTGCTTTCTTAAGTTTAAGTAGGTTAGAACATTAGCTGTGTAGTCCGTTCAAAGTTTTGAAAAAAAACACAAAAAAGTTTAATATATAAAATATATTTAGACACACCAGTCTTGATTTGATGTCGTTATAAGATTATACTTAAGCGGTGCATTGATAATTGCATAATACGTCTGACTGCAAATGCAGAATCATAGAAAGTTGGATAGGAAAAGAAAGTTATTGCTTGCAGTAAAAGAAAAAGAAATAGGTTTGTATTCCCTTGACTAAACCCCACCTACATGTTCAGCTCTGATTGCTAATTAGACCACAGAAGATAAGTCTCCTTTAGTAGACTTTGCAGTTCCTCCTCTATGATGCTATGACAAACAATTTTTTTTATTGCTGAAGTTAATATGTGTTTGTGCCAGGAGGGGCTTTTGTTTCATGTTAAACCAGTTGATCCTCTCAGTTACTTAGAGCCAGTTGGTTGGTAGTTAAACCCATTAAAGTCACTTCCTTAAGTTCCCTCTGACTTGTGTAACACTGTCATGTTTACTACAAACTACTGGCAGCTTGTTGTGGCTTAAGGGTCCAGAATGTGTTTTACTAAAACACAGATTCTGGAAGAAACTCAAGTCATAATGTGTCTTTCGGAAATACCCATCATGTATTTTGTTTGCCAGTGGTGCAGTGAGGCTTTTAGTTTACATTCTTGTTTAAACTCCATTTGCTAACAGCTCAGGGGAGTGCCGTTCACAGGAGAAACAAACTAAAACTTAAGCTGTATTTTGTTTGTTTGTAAAAGGAAGGTGATTCTGTTATTTCTCATCTGGGACTGACTCAATCACAGTAATTTATTTTAAAGGTCCTCTTTTATTTGCTTTGAGTACAACTTAGACTGCTCCGGAAATGTTTCTAAAGTTTTCATTTTAATGCCAACTTTTAAACTAGGTATTGGACCATATATGGCAAAATAATAAAAAATGAACATAATACCTATTAATAAGTCACTCAGTAACAGTAACAAAAAGAACTACTTAAGAAAATTTTTTTTTGAAAATATCCTAAAAAGAAACAAAGAAAGGAGGCATTGCTTTAGCATTCAACTGACAAAATGTGCAAACGAGGAACAAATCACTGGCCTTTTTCTCTGAAGATATATTGAGCTACAGCTTCAGTTTTAGATAGATTTCTTTTGTTGTTAGCTGTAAATTTCATAATTTTTGTGGATGGTCACGTTTAACAACATGAATATTAGCTGTAACAAAACTAATGTTAGCTATAACAAAGCTAATAGTAGCTTTAACAAAACTAACATTAGCTATAACAAGCTCATGTTAGCTCTAACAAAGCTAATGTTAGCTATAACAAAACTAACGTTAGCTATAACAAGCTTATGTTAACTGTAACAAAGCTAATGTTGGCCACTTGACTGAAGGCTTCTTTAGTTGGCTACAAATCATAGCACAAATTTTAAGCTAAATGCTTTTTGAATAACTGTGCTCTATATGGAGCCTACTAAAGGTCCTTGGGTTCTCCACTGTAAAAAAATGAATGGGAGTCTATGAGAGGATAAAAGCTATTTTGTGATCCTGTTTAATATGTGCCATGGATTTCACATATGATGTCCATGAATTTTAAAGGCACGTTTTGATGCCTAGAAAAAGCTAATTTTTGACAGGCAGCAAAAGTAATTTTAGGTTTTGTGTGGAAGGATGTGGAGAACTCCAAATGTGCATCTCAGCAAATTGCCATCATCAAACGCCAAGGAACCAAACTTTTACAAGCTAATAAATCTTAAGTTGCGTGACAAACATAGTTGAAGCATACCTAATTATTCATCATTTATATTGAAGTACAGCGTGTGTGATTCAGTGTGTAATGCAAAGTGGACCAGCAAATAACATAAAAAACCCCGTTCACTTACATTCTTTAACATTTCTTTTGTTTAGGGGACATCATTCCGACCGGAAGGGGAGGAGACGTAGGCTCCCTATAGCGTTTAAGCTAAATGTTTAGAATCGTTTCACTGTTGTTGTAAATGCATTAGCTTAGCCTTTATAATATCCTGGTTTTCTTTGTTCTGCGTTAAATGTCCAAGTCGGTCTCAGTGGAATAATGAGGTCATAATCATCTAATTTGCCTTTAAAATTTGTCAGTGACTTGTTGGCATCGAGGCGTTGAGTACCTCTCTCTTTTCTGAGAAATGACACAAAGTGTCACCAGCTGTTGTCATTATGAGTCACATTGCTTCATGGCAGAAGACCATAGTGAACATCTTTATGGCTTTGTTGGCTAATTTTCTACCTCATCGCTGCTCATTTGCATGAATTTAAATTCTAGTCAAGTTTTGAACTATCTGGGATGTTGGCTGTTGCCGCTCTTTGCCTTGGCATTGGTCTGAAGGCCGGACAATATTTGAAGGTTTTGTAAGAATAAGTAAAACAATTTACAGATTTACTTCCATTAATTTACACATCACCAACTCAGCAAAAATCATCATCTCAAAGCAAAACACAGAAAACAGGAACAGATCAATTATGATTCAGTCAAATTAATTCATTTCAGTCTAATTCTAGAACAGTCCAATCCACTCAGGCTGCAAATCCAATCTGAGCATGCCACCTATAAATCTGTTCCAACAAGAAATAATTTCATACGCACACCTGAGTGTTTATCAGACACAGGTGTGAGCGAGAGCTCAGGAAACTCGAAAGCACATTCATATAAGATTCTGGAGCTGTATTTGCCAAGGGGCTGAGGAAAACCAATAAAGAACTGTAAGCACAGGTGCAAGAGAAACAACTGCAATAAGATAAATTCCTTCAAAGCCTTTTAAAATCATTATTTTGACCTTGCAGTCAACTCCATTTCAATCTGTCTAGTTTTCAATGTTCAAGATGGAATTAACTATTCAGATTCCATATTTTGCTCTATAATTAAATTAATTGCATTGCCAGTTTTCATAATTTTGTGAAAGCTAAGTCGATTTAAATTTAGTTGTTCATCCATCCTGCTTTACATCAGTAGCTTTGTCCTATTTGACATGAGGGCAGCAGTAAATTGATTGGGATTCCTGAGTGGTCCAAGAGAATGATGGTTAGAAATTAAATGACTGAAAGAGGTGTAATGGTGGTTAGGACAAGTGGGATGGAGAAGGAGGCGGGAGCGGGAGGAATACACAAACAGGTTGCACTGGGGCCTGGGGAATTAGACGGAGAAGGCTCGGAAAACAGAGGGAAAGAAAAATAAGATGGAGCAACGGGAAAGACAGAGAGGGAAGGCTGGTTCGACACGGTTGCATGTAAAGCAGATTTTACCCAGTGTTGTTCATCATCATTACTTTATTTTTCTAACACACACACACACACACACACACACACACACACACACACACACACACACACACACACACACACACACACACACACACACACACACAGGTGAATCAACAGCAGCTTTTAGAGTGTGCCAAACAGCAACTAAGAACTCGTATCTCATCACTGCCAACTTCTGCCACCTCCTCCTCCTTCATCAGGCCAGCCTTTAAACATCTAGCTCCTGTCTTCTCCTAATCCATCAATCTATCCACCACCACCACCACCACCCCTCTCCCATTTGTCTCTTCCTTTTAGCTTCATTACCTACCTCTTTACAGAAATTCTCCATCCTGTTGTTTTATCTTTCCAGCAAATTTAGTCCTGCGTCTCTGCTCCGCATCAAGTCTCTTTCAGTTCATCTCTGCCTCTAACACTCACTCTCTCAACCTCCATCACCCCTCCCTCCCTCTCCCTTCTGCTCCCCCTCCCTGAGCCCTTCTTCTGTCCCCCGACACCTCGCACTCTCCTCCTCCTCCTCCTCCTCTTTCTCTGTGTCAACTTACCCTCCCTCCTCCCCTCTCCCTCTCTCCCTGCATGTAGTTGTATAACTTATCACCCTGATCTCTTCCCCACTCGATAATTGGTGTGTGCCGACAGCAGATGCATGCACGCTTTATTTAGCGGCTCAGTATTAGCCAGTCCAATTAGTCATCTAATACCAATAAGAAGGAGAAACTGTTGGCCTCCATGCATTGAGCACCATGGGAGAAGGCGGCACGTTTGGGTTTGTCTGTGCAACAACGGTGGCCGATGCAAACACACAGCTCCACGTCCTCCACTCGCAGCTGGGTGGAGGGTACATGTGGGTTTTAACAGATGGTGAACCACTTTCCCTCGAGTATCGGCATTATTCTCCCTCTCTCAAATTAACTAGGTTTCAGTAACAAACCTTTGGGCTTTGTCGTCACCATGGTTACCCAAACACTGAACCGTGACTGTCTGCATTTGTATGTGTGCGTATGTGCGAGTATGTGAAGCGAGTGCTATGTTTGTGTGAGCACTTCATGGTGTACACTGTTCTCTGTGTGTGTGTGTTACCGTATGTGCTACTGCGTGATTGTGCATGCACACGGGTATCTTAGTTGCTTTGATGCCTTTGTTTGCCCCCACAGGGCTGGAAGGCTGGTTCTGTCTCAAGCACCTATGCATCTCCACGGAGAACAGCAGCATTAAATAGGATCACAGCACATTTATCAAAGGTCTATTGTACCCTACAGGAGGCAATCTTAATATTTCTATAATCCCTCGAATAAAGATTACAAGGGAGATTTAATTAGAGTGGTTTTGTGACAGGAAAGGTAAGAGCTGAATTTGGAGTCAACTCTCGCTTCACCAGGTTGGATGTTGGGACTTTATTCTGCAGCCTTCGACTGTGAATATGATTATGTAGCGAGTCCGAGTACACCGGCGGACATCTAAGCAGTCACTTCCACCTTAAAGTCTGATTCGTTTTATGTGGTGGTAAGGTAATGTAAGAAATGCATTAGGAAGGACGCGTATGGATTTTTTTCAATGTGAACCTATTTATTGCCGTTTTAGTAAATATAGTTTTGATAAGCACAAAAATGTTAGCTATTTGACCGATCCTGAGCCAGAGCTCCATGACTGACAGTGGCTAAACAGCTTCAATGTAATAGCAAAACTCAGCGATGCGTGTCAGAATAAACCTGCTTATATTTGCGACAGGAAGGCTGAGATGGTATTACGTGTTGAATGCTATTATAGGAAGGATCTATACAGAGATAAACCGTTCCCATCTTGGCTCTGTCATCTGTTTCGCCACTTCTGCCGCTTGCACATAACACCACTTCTAAAAAGAAGAAAGAGGTCTGGTTAACTCAAAACAGACCTGAATCCTCATTTGTAACTTATGCACAAAGTGTAACAGGAATGGGTCGTGTGCCAGGCGGTGGGATCTCTGGAACCGAGTCGGACAGGAGAACACGCACACCATAATGGAAACTCTGACCCAAGTGTACTGGCATTTTACAAAAATGGGGGAAAACCGACGGCACAGACGATGATGTGGAAAACTGAAGCCAGATGGTAGAAATTAAATGTGAGAGCCACTCACATTGAATCCCAATCAAAATGCATTTAACAGATCTTAAGAATAAAGTTTTTACAATTACAATTGTCCAATTTTCAAACAGGTTGCCTGGATGAGGGGATTCCACTGATTATCACAAGCATTTGAAAGGTGTTGAGCAATCAGTGTGATTGCTGTCAACATAAGAACACTGTTAAATATAATGCTGAATGATCAATTAGCACCTCTGTGAGAATAAAAGAATCACACCTTCAGGGAAAAGGATCATTTCCTGTCTTGAATCACCACAGATCAGCAGGTAGGCATCAGCATGCAGAGGGCAGGAGCACCGGCACACGTGCAGGCTTCTGTCTACACTTTAATTTATGACGATCTCGCCTAAAATTTATCCACAGGCAATTTTATAAATCAGGATTTTTGCTGCAGTTTGACTGAATTCTTTGCACTGTTAAAAAAGAATAATTTAGCCCCCTGAGCATTTATTTGGCAATCACGGCCAATTCTGGATTGTTAATTCATCCATACAGGTCTTTAAAACTGAGCTCTTTGGAGTTCTGTTTTAACCTACAAATTTGTGTGAAAGCTTTTTATTTTATTATTTTTTAAAAGCAGGCCTAACAATTTCTTACCAGAGTTTCTAAAAGGCACATAACACTCAGGATTTATTCTTAGTTAATTACCCCGACATACTTGTTCGCCGTAGCATTTACTCTACTAATGGCAGCTGCCTTTCTCTTAATAGTTCATGTTTTTATTCAAAACATTTTTTTCAACAGGTATTCAATTAACAGATTTATGTGTACTAAATGAAGTAAAATCCTACAATTGTTCTTTCGGGGTTCAGAAGGCTTCAAACAAAGTAGGTCATGCACGATGCTGTCCAGCCATCTGAAGGCAGGTCCTATGATGTCTCTCCAAGAAGTCATTGTCTTCTTTTTTATGTCCTCATTATCTTTATTTGTGAGACCATACGGGAGGAGATAACACGTTTAGTCTCTCCTTCAAGCCTTTCATTGTGCTGCCCTCAGAATTTGGAGACATAAATCTGACATCCTGGTTATTCTCACATGTACACACCAGTTCTGTAGTTTTAGTGAGGTTTTAAGATGAAACTGGTTCCACAAACTTATTCCTGAACATAGACACCATCATACCCAGATCTCCAGAAGCAAGTAAAAAGTGGACATAAATCTCAAACTACAGCTTCATGAGGTTTTGTTGTTTCACGTAGCTTGGAATTGTACACAAGGCTTCATTAAACCATAAAGTGATATGTTTTAGTTGTTATTTAAGCTAAAATCCTAAATATAATCCGTCAGATATTCTCTAAGATCTTTCTTTTCATGTACTCTGCAGAATCATGAGGATGTTATTTGCTGAATAAATATTTTCATTATCATTAAAGTAACGCAGAGCAGTTTGCTGCTCATCCCCCCTACTGGTTGAAAGTGGATTTACAACTGTCATAAACAGCCCTTCTGCAGCCTGCTGTAGCTAGCACTAACAACGAGCTAACACTAACATGAGCCAACTAATACTAAAATAAACCTCAAAGTAAAAAGATCCACAATTTTGGACAAAAATGTATCACTTACATGTCCCATAACAACAAAGCCAGGTCACCGTCAGTCGGTGATTTTGTAGCCTCTTTTAGCTCCCTCAAACTGGAGCAGGCCATGTCGATGTTTACTCTGGTTTTAGCTCTTTGATTCACTTCCAAAGAAATTACTCTTATACTTTTACTTCCAGGCTTTGCTGTGATGCCAACAGAAAAGGCAAACTTCTTTTTCTTCTACTTGAACTTTTTATTGACAAAATGAAAATGTTAGCTGATAGCATTACAGCTAACAGCCATAAAGCAGGCAAAGTGTGCCCCCTATAGAATACCTACTAGCTCCATAAAACTGTTAAGTGTGATTTTTGGTCATTAGAGAGCTGCGGAGTGGTGTCAAGTATGAAACTGGTCAAGTTTCTAACTGAACAGTCACTGAGATGCTGTAGCTTAAAGTAAAACAAAAAGTATCTATTGTTACTTTGAAACCGGTTCAACTAAATTAGATGCAGTCCCAAAGTCAAAACATTAAATAATAAACAAAATATAGACTATTAAAATAAGAGGGGGAAACACAGTATATGTGTATAAAAGCTTAAACATTAAATGTAAAATTGTTTAGAGATTTCCTGAAATTATTTCTATGCAACCTGTATAAACAGATAAAACCTTTACTAGCTAAAACTGCTTGTAAACTTTCATTGCAAAGACATTTTATGGTAACTGCACATCATCTGGAGGCTCATCAATATGTGCAACGCCTCCTGCTGTACAGTTAAAGATTTCCTTTGGCGTTTTGCCTTTTTATTGGATTGTCGTCATTCAAAGACGCAGGAAACTGGGAATGAGAGCAGGGGAATGACACGCACTAAAGATCCAGCTGGCCAGGTGTGAAACCAGGACTCAGCTGATGAGTGCGTTTTCATTCATCTACTTTGAGCCCTCAGCCACTCGGCGTGCAGGTTGCTCCGCAACACCATGCTCGTCTTTTTGTTTTCATCTACTTCTCTTTCATGGCTTTGTTTTCAGTTTCATCCGTCATCTTCACAGCATGTTTTATTTATCTGCTCTGTAGCAAACACTAGACGAATACGAAGACCTAATGACAACGAATCCTCTTTTCCGTCCTGTCCACTTCCAAAAGTATGATGGTGAATTTTTTGATGAAACTTAAGTCTGTAGATAATGCCCTGATGTAATTCAATCTGTTTTTAACAGTTAATGTAGAAAATAAATGTGAAGCTTTAACCCTTTAAAGCAATGACTGTGAGGATGCAATTCAAGACTAAATGCATGGAAAGCCTCTGGCCCTGATGGTGATTTCCCCTCTGCTGCTCTCCCTGTACACCAGCGGCTGCACCTCCTACCACGAGTCTGTCAAGCTTATCAAGTTGG